CAAAAACTGAGTTAAGTGAGATTTTACAGCGTCATCGTCATTCAAAGTTTTACCACGAAGGGAGTTGTCCAGGGATCGAAATAAGTGGTAATCCGATGGCGCGAGATCAGGGCTATATGGTGGGTGTAACATCAATTCCCAACCAATATCCATGAATTTTTGCCGAGTGGACAAAGATGTGTGCGGCCTAGCATTGTCCTGCTGGAAAATCACACCTTTACGATTGACCAATTCTGGTCGCTTTTCCTTGGCCGCTGCATTCAATTTGTCCAGTTGCTAACATTCACGGATAATACAAAACAACATAATAATAATAATAATAATAATAATTTTATAATATAACATTTACGGATATCATAAAAATGGGAGTGAGAGACATCTATAACTGAAATCGGCAATTACTTAGTTGCCAACCCAATAGTTTGACTGCTCGGTTTAAAATTAAATATTTCATAGTCCGTTTGAAATAAAAATTACTCGATACTGATTCTAACAGAAAATCGCACTCGAAGCAAAAGACAATGATCGTTTTAAATTACGGAATTGCATAATCGAAAGTGTTTGTTGCGCGACTGCAATGAAAATCGCGAAGAAGGATAAGTCGGACAGTCTGAGAATCGAAGAATTTCCGTAGCCAGCGGATAACTTCATAACTATTTTTGAAACTGTATTCGATGACTTGAACTTTGGTTAGATGATAGAGAAACTGGTGAACTAGACAATGACTCGAATGCGTTTTATTCATTTTGCTGTTATTTGGAATGTCAGAACAAAATAAAAATCTCTCGTTTTCTCAACGTTTTTATCTGAGCCTATAACGAAATTTTAAATGTGCCTTTTGCAGATCTCGATAACTTGTACGCGTGCTGAAAATTTGATCGAGATCAATTGATTTGATTGAGGTAGCCTTGACATAATCAATCCGGAGTCAAGCTATAGGCATTGAAGAAAAAACTGCAGATTTTTTACAGTTCTGACGAACTGTAACAATCAGAAGTGTCAAAAATGAAAGCTGCGATTTTTGCGATCATTAATTTCTAGTAATTCATAACAGCAATAACATTTTATGCATGCATATAAGTTACCAAGATCTGTAGAAGGCATTTTCTAAATTTTCTTTATAGGCTCAGGCAAAAACGTTGAAAAACACGAGTTTTTTAAATAATTTTTTGTCATTCCAAGTAATAACAAAATTAAGAAAAAGGCATTTTAGTCATTCAGACATTTAGCCACTAGTTCCATTATCATCCAAAAAGAATTCAGGTCGTTTAGTCCAGTTTTAAAAAAAATTATTGCGCTTTGAAAGGTGTACGAACAGTTTTGCGGGCCACTGTAATATCGGAACCGGTGGCTACGATCTCATTTGGAAGCGGTGGCCTGCCGAGTGTTCCAGTTGATAGCAATCGAATCGGATGTTAAAAAGTGGAGTCGAGTCGCATTTTCCAAGTGGTCGACGATTTCCGTAGACAGCGGAATGGTTACGTTCAACTTGAAATTTTCTAAATCGATATTCACGGCGGCCGGATGAAAAATATCTGGTTATTACGGTTCGTTTGAAATTTCGGTTTGTCCGGATTCTGATAATTGATTGTGAATTACGGTATACGCATGTCGAATTATCCTCACGTAACGTAAAATCCCATCAGGTGTTGATGATATGCCACGTCCACCCCGACGCCGCAAACGACTGAAACAGAAAAATACCGGGAACACGGTTCAAAGGACAATCTTCTCTGCGAACGTTTTGTTCGATTTGCAATCGATTATTCTATTTAACGTGCAACATTTTCTATACTTTTGTTACCGGATCGTTATAAACTTCAATTACATTAATATATATTATATATTATTATATTATATATTACATATATATTATAATTATATAACTAGATGAAAATTCGATTTGCAATTGATTATTCTATTTAACGTGCAACATTTTCTGTACTTTTGTTACCGGATCGTTATAAACTTCAATTACATTAATATATATTATATATTATTATATTATATATTACATATATTAATTATATAACTAGATGAAAATTCGATTTGCAATTGATTATTCTATTTAACGTGCAACATTTTCTGTATTTTTGTTACCGGATCGTTATAAAGTTTAATTACATTAATATATAATATATTATTATATCGTATATTATATATTATTACGTATTATTGTATATTACGTATTAATTATATAACTAGATGAAAATATTGCATGAAATCTCGAAAAGCAAATTAAATAATGGCAACATTGTATGTATTCTTAAATTCAGACGCTCGCGACAAATAGTCGAAGATTCCATTATGATTCTACGCTGTTATGCAAAGTTCTTAGTATGCACGTCTATATATAAATGCAAACAGTGTACAAGTCAAGTTGATGCCCTTCGGCTGTATGCACGTATATACGGTTACCAAACGGCAACAGACACTGTTTATCCAGATGTAGATATTACATGAATGACGGTTGTTGGGTATTCCCGTATATATGTCTACCTTAAAGTGATACGAATCATTCGTATGCGCTATCTACGTAAATTTCTATGAGGACTTCTATATCTATCTTTACGAGCATTTCCACCGGGGACCATTTTCTTAAAAGCAGCATCGCATCGAGCAATCGTAAAAATTGGGATACGATATTATATACATATACGCGCTTCCATTATTATTTCCTTTAAATCGTCTTTCATGCATCGTGCAGCATTTTACGACCGGTATCCATAAAATAACTTACAAACATTTTAGAGAACTAAACAAAATTCTCCGATTGCTTGAAATTTTGCACATTTGCAGCATTTCGACGGAAATATCAAGAGCTCGTCGATAAACACTCTGAAGTGTTCTAATCAATTTTTTAATCATTTAACCCTTTGCACTCGATTGCTGACTCTGAAGCACCACTAAAATGATTGTATCACGTTCCAAGATAATTTTTATATTAACAAAGTTTACATTTAAAACATTGTTAAAAGTGTAACTGTTGTACGAGTCATCGGAAGACTCAATTTCATATGCATAAAATGCATTACGTTTACGATTCAAATAGCTTCGAGTGCAAAGGGTTAATTTATAATTGTTAAAATCGTGGCGTTGCATACGCGAGAAATGGACATGATTATTTACTTAGGATATAATTGATGGGTACAATCATTCACAACATGATAAAAATGTGCAAAATACGGAGGTGTATGTTCTCGTTATTTTCAAAACATATTTCTATTTCGGTGTAAAGCTGCAAACATATTCGTTTATCGGCTCGCGAAGTTAATTACTTTTCATGAAACGAATGCGATATTTTAGCGAACTACATACATACATATCTGAAGCGTAAAAGCGCCGTTGATTTTTATGAAATCGCCGGTGTCAATTTTATGATCGTGCATGATACGCGCGCAAATGCAGGAGTGTGCCACGGCTGCAATTCACCGGGAGCAGCTCAACGTCATTAATACTGAACCGGGACCACTGTAATGAAGAGGATAGAGAGGTGCACGAGATTCCTAGATCCGCTAATGATCGGTTTCTTAAATTGTCCCTTCTGAGCGAGAGCAATTTGCCACGACAAGTGGGACACAGCGGGGTGGATGATTGATAATTAACTACGCTGATTACCGCTATGGTATTCACACCACCGATCGACATTCAAATCTTTAGTAGGACAAGAGAGATCAACGATGACTCTCGTGCCCGATTTTCACCTGTCATTAGAGGTTTTCTAATCGCTGACTTTCGATCTCTGATTATCGTACGTAGCATGCAACGGGGAAAGGAAATTGCGTTATAATTGCGTTGAACTACTTTACAGTAGCAATAATCACCGTGGATCATCAACTTTTTATAGATTTAAGTTTGGAATTTCAATATTCATTTGAGCCGCGTTTATTTTGAAAGTGGCATAAGTCACTTTTTTCTTTTTTTTTTTAAATGAAAAGATACCGTTCAATTGTAATTAGTGTTACCATTAACTCGATTTTTTTGAAAAAGCGACTTATGCCACTTTCAAAATAAACGGCTCATTTGTTGCAATGAAATGTTCGTACACCTCCTAAAACGTAACAACTTTTTTAAAACTCAACTAAATGACTTGAATTTCTTTTTTTTTTAGATGATAGAGGGACTAGTCTACTAGACGATGATGGAAATGCCTTTTTCCTATTACTTGAGATGACAAAAAGAAAATTAAAAAACTCTCGTTTTTTAAACTTCTTTATCTGAGAGCTTATAATTGTATACATGCTGAAAATTTCATCGAAATCGGTTAACCCGTACAGCCTATGTAAAACTACAGATTTCTTCCAGTTTTTGATAAAAATCGTGACAAAACTGCGATTTTTGCCATATTTAATTTGTTGTAACTCGTAACAACGTGAACTGGTTTCGATAAAATTTTTAGCATACGAATAGTTACCGAGATCTACGAAAGATATTTTTTTAAATTTCTGTTTTAAGCTCAGATGAAAAAAAAGTTAAGAAACGAGAGATTTTTATTTTTTGTCACTCCAAGTAATAGCAAAATTAAAAAGAAAGCATCATCTAAAAAAACATTCAAGTCATTCGGTCCAGTTTTAAAAAAGTTATTTGTTATATTTATTTTATATAGTTATTATATATAGTTGTATTATATTATTTTAAAAGGTGTACGAACAATTTTGTGGGCCACTGTATATCTAGAAAATTTGGTGGAGATTTATTCTTGTCTGGTCACGTCTATGAGATTGTTTCATTTGTAATAGCAGTATTTAAATAATCCCGCTATCATTTAAAAAACATTCAAGTCACTCGGTCCAGTGTTAAAAAAGTTATTGTTATATTTATTTTATATAGTTATATTATATTATTTTAAAAGGTGTACGAACACTTTTGTGGGCCACTGTATACCTAGAAAATTTGGTGGAAATTTATTCTTGTCTGGTTATGTCTATGAGATTGTTTCATTTGCAATAGCAGTATTTAAATAAGATACTTCGTGATACGATTTCTAAAATTAACCTTTCGAACAGAAGAACTTCGTCTGAACAAGATCTCACAGTGTTTTTAGGTGAAGAGAGTCTCAAAAATCACTTCCTTTTCAGCCTGTCGACCGACAATGAGCATGACTCCTTAATGAGGAGAATTTACGGGCACGATTTCAGACGGGAATATCGGAGGATCGCGCTTCGCAACTTTTCCACAAACTTTCGAGCTGTTGACTCTGAAACAGAATCATTTAACCCTCTGTATCCAACGGTTGCGTTCAGTGCTTTCTTCTGCTTGAGCTGGTTCGACATTTCGCTCGATTACATCCCGTTGTTCCCGTTCCTTTTCCTCCGGGATATTGGCTTTTCCGTAAACTCGGCGACGACCGGAACTCGGTTTTCCTACTCCAGCCTCCTTATACCGTCGAAATTATAATATAATTGATTCTAAACGAGCCTCGAACAATCTTACATTGTTTCTAACTATACAGCAACAGGTGGTGCGGAAACAGTTTGTCCGCGCACGTAAAAATGTGACAGAATTCAAGATCCTGGAAACTTGGCGACGAGCCTTTGTTCTGCTACATTGTTTGCAAATAAGTTCCTATTGTGCTGCGCCTTCATTGATCGTACCTTCACAATAACGTGAGAGAGATTAATAATGCACGCAGTTTCAGTGCTCCTTTATATACAGGGTGTCCCATAACTATGTTAACACCAGGAAAGGGACGATTCCTGAGGTCATTTGAAGTAACTTTTTCCTCAGCGAAAATGCAATCCGCGGCTTCGTTTACGAGTTATTAGCGAAATACAGTGACCAATGAGGGGCGAGCACTCGACTGGCGCGAGGTGGCGCGAGCCAATCGACAGAATTGGGCTTCGCGCGCTCGTTGACTGGGGCCGCCTCGCTCCGGTCGTGCTCGCTCTCCGATTGGTCAGTGTTTTTCGTTAATAACTCGTAATGAAAGCCGCGGTTTGCATTTTCGCTGAGGAAAAAGTTACTTTAAATGACCTCAGGAACCCCTCTTTTCTCGGAAATGCCACAATTTTGGGACATATATATAGTATTTCGGGTCTGAAAAATTAGTAAATATTCTTCAGACATTCTGAAATAAGGATAAACAGCGCTTTTTTTTTAAATTATCACTGTCACGTGGTAAAAAAAAATCGAAAGTTCGTGTTCCATGACTTGTTCATGGATTCGAACGCGGCACGGAGCCCTCCTTCTTCTGTCAAACTCCGCGATCGGAGCACGTTGTGCTCGAACGATGGACCACGTTGTAATTCACGCCCTCGCCTCTCATTGGTCAGTGTTTTTCGTTAATAACTCGTAAACAAAGCCGCAGATTACATTTTCTCTAAGGAAAAGGTTACTTAGAACGACCTCAGCTACCCCTTATTTCCAGATTGCGAAACATATTTAGGACACCCTGTATATTAATATCCTACTTTAAATTAATGGAAAAATACGGCTCGGATTTGCTTGCTCTTTTATCTCTATGTGTTTCAGATGTTTTTCAGTGCCGTATTTGAACATCGCTAACAAAAATCACTTCCGCTGATGAAAAAATATTGTACGGATTCGTTTCTTCTCCATCGCTGTTTTCCACATATTTTTCAGCTCTTTGTAATACCATTCGGAATATTGCACAGGAGTTTTAGCTATCGGTTATACGTCCATTGTTTTTCAACTTTCTGCGAAAAAACAACGCTTGCAAGCTTCTTT